ATAAGTAAATACTAACGTTTTACCTTTCCTCTTCAACACCCAGAGAACCTAAAGAATCTTTACTCAACCACCAATTCTTTTCCTTTTCGTCGGCTTCATTTATATTTAAGTCATAACTAGAGCTTAAACTGGAATTGAGCCTAAGCTGGGTGATGGCAACTGTAAGATCCGAGCTTTGACTGGCAATGCGCCGTGACTGCCGTTTTGGTGCGGAAGAGCCTTCAACCTTGGTATTTTTTCGTTTCTTGGAGACATACGATGCATAATATCTGGATGTGTCAGTTTCGTCATTAAATGAAGCAGTTGACATGTTGCACAGTTTATTTGCTTTTTTATAGAGATTGGAATGTTACGCGTGCTAATCACGCGCAATCAATGAAATAAAAATAGTAAATATGCGGATTGTCTAAATACAGTGTATGATCGACATTCGAGAATCATACAGAACAATGATCACGGGACCAATCGAAAATCAAGCGGATCTATAATCGCAGTTGTTCGATGCGCTTATTCAGCTAGAAAATCATTCTTTAACCATTAGAACAAAACATGTACCAGTTTCTAAGCCATGTATAGCAAGTACAATCAGCTTCGTAGGTACTTTCTGCGTTGTGTAACAAGTTTTCTTATCCCCTTTACCTTCAGGACATCATTAGGTATACTAATAAACTTTTTGACGGCAATAGAACAAACAGTTGTCTGACTTAGCATTTATGTCAAATCATTTTACAGATGAACGACGGGATTATGGGTGAGGGATCGTATAGTTAAATATGTAAGATAATGTAGTTGGCAGGAGGGATAGGAATGATATTGGGTAAAGAGGATGATGAGGCATAGGATGTGTTATGAGGATAGAGGATTTTATGTAGAGAGGATGATGGAGAAAGATGTATACTTGGGAGTTATAGAGGGCTGACATAAGGATGGAGGATCATGTCCCGATGCGATAGATATGATGTAGGAAATGATGATGCATAGCGATAGATACAATATGTTGTAGGAATGGTAGAGATGACGAAGATGATGTAGGAAGGATTATGGAAGAATATATGTAGGGAGGATGTGTATAGAGGATGGGAGGATGCGTAGGATGACAAGTAGGGCAGACTAATGTATCGTGGACCATGTGCAAGGAAAGCACATAGGAATGACAGTGGCATGTAGTGGATGTAGTGGATGTAGTGGATGTTGTGCTGACGGGTGGGGGTAATATGTAGGGAATAAGGAGGTTTGTAATGATGTGTGGATGTAGAGAGGGTAATACATAGTGAGGATGACATGTAAAGGATGATGAACCGATCCAAGCGATGGAGCTCTCTTATTCTTCTTCCCCAATGTGTAGGGAACGATGAAATGATGATCTAACGAACAATATACATGGCATAACATCGATAGTACAGTGCCTGAACCAATATTAGTTCTTTTATCGCTTTTTTGCGCCCTTTTTACCACTCGCCATTGATTCATTCCCAATACATACCATTGTTATAAATCACAAGTTATGAATATCCTATATTTGCTCAAAAAGCAATAGTTTATGCTGTCGTGACTTCAGACCTTTGATGCAAAAATGATACAAGCGAGTTTATCTAAAAAAGAAAGTTACGGTGCATTTTGTTAGATCTTTTGAACTCTCTAACGAAAGGGCTCCAGTCTGACATGCTGTAGCTAGCATAGATACGTTTCTTGATGCTTCTTTATATATTGTTTGAAAGAGCAAAACAGTTTCTACAAACTTCAATATTGTGAAGGGGTTCCCTTGGTATGAGTAATTTACCTATTAAAACACGCTAAAGAGAACGTTGTTAAAGTGAAATGGCGTAAATCTGACGTCTTCGGAGGTCGTTATTCAAAAAACTGCTTAAAAGAGTCCAGTGGATTAGAGTGGATTATGAAGCTATGGGTATAGGTGAGTGCATAACGACAATAATAATTTGGTGTTGCGAAATAAGTGTAATCGAGCCAATCAAATTTCATGGAACATTCAAAATTGATTTCCATGACCACCCCAAATTTCTGACTGTAATGAGGCGCAGTAGTCACTCGAGTAAAGGATGCATCCACGATTATCTACGAAAAAATGAATTTATTGTATTTGATCTTACTAGGTCAGAGGATGATCCTCTAGCAATTCGGTTAAGGTTTGATACTCCACTAGATTTGCAGAAGGAAATAGAATTGCGTCAAAAGAAAAAAATAAAAAGTAAACCAGCTTATACATAGGAAAAAGGTATAAAAATTTATGTGATTAAATTACTGTGGAACAGGGCACTTACGTGCTTGGGATATATATATATCATATGTATATAACGTATAGATGATATGTATAGTATAAATGTATCATGGATGGGTAGATAAATTTTATTTTTCCTAGATTATTACTTTTTACTAGGACAACTAGGACGGATATATAATAAATATAAAAGAACAAGATAAAAATAGATTTAAAATCTTTCTCCTATATCGAATCCGTCCCAGTTAACTTTTTTTTACTAGGACGAAACCGGGACGGATTTTTTATTAGGACGCGAGCAGATCCATTTTAAACGCATTCTAGTGGCTACCTATTTTTCTGGTATGTTTTCGGGTATATTTTTTGGATATTTTTTCGGGGTGTATAACTTCGGTAATATTATATAATAATTATGGGAGTTATATACCTGCCTTCCTATAATTATTGGACAAAGTTAATCCGCCTTTTTACTACGTATGTTCTCGGATATATTTCTGGTGTTAACAATTCTGGCAAACAAAATTGGCATACTTTAATATAACGTACTCGATAACATTTTTTGATAGCATATACATGATAGCATTATCGATAGCATTTACGTGATATATATAGCATACATATTTGGTAGCATTAATCGATAGCATAATCAGATAGCATACATATAGCATGTCCGGATTGCATTAATTCTTCTATTAAATATTCTATGCGGTATATAAAATGACAACAATACAAGATCACAAGAGTAAGCTAACTCAAGCTATTGATAATATTATAACGCAAAAGATTGAGGAAGTAGACTGTAATATTCATGCTACTTATGCTACTAAAGCTATCAATAAACTCTTTATACAGAAGATTGGAAAGGGTTTCAAAACTTATATAGAAAAGCTAGAGGATTACGATTCTGAGTCTGATTCCGATCTCGAAAATGAATTAATTATATCTATTGTCAACCCTACAGTTAAAAATCCCGTTGCTACTAATAATGTATAAATCGCACGGTGTACTTTTACTTTTTTTTGTTTGCGTCCCAGCGACGGAAATCGGTTACGATTACTAAACCGGCATACATTATGTCGCATGTGGGTGACGACACAAATTAGCCACCTTGGCGCGTGTCGTAACTTGACACTGTCATCATGTGTTGTGATAATCAAATCTTGACATCGTCGTCTGTGTTTGACACCGTGACGGCAGAAATCCAACATCGTTCTCGAGTGACGAAGCAAACGCAAACTCCGCGTCAATAATTGGGATGGTTATAGTCCGCAAGGGGAACGTCATGGACTATAAATAACCCGAAAAATATATCACTCGAATGACTTGAGTTTTATGATCAACCCATCACTCAAATGACTTGAATTTTGCTATCCACACGTCACTCAAATGACTTGAACTTTGCGATCTACACGTCATTGGGATGGTTATAGTCCGACCTAAGTGGGATACTTGTAGTCTGTATAGACTACAAGTATCCCACTCTATGGTATGAAAGTTTAAGGTTTATCGATCATCTGTGTGACGTCCTTATCATATGGCGATAAAAGTCGTACAAATAATTATCGTTTTGTTAACTTCGTATGCATATCAGTTTGGAACCTGTCAGTTCCGAACTGAATCGACTGAGTTCTGAATTTTACGTCAGATATATTGTCAGGTCTTTGGTTATATTGGGCATAATAGTAACAGCAATCGATCATAGATATACAGTACGTACCTTACAGGTTTTTGTTAGTAATTGAAGCATCGACATGCTTCAATTACTTGATAAGTTTTATTTTTGTCTATATTAATACTTGTTAGCATTACCCAGGGAAACTATACAGTTATAATACTATAATGTGTTGGGTAGTAATAGATAAATAGCTAGTACGTTTTATTCGGCGAATGTGCATACTTAACGAAAAATAACGGCCTTCCGAAAATTGAACTAATTGTGTTAAACGCGCCTCAACTTTTAATAAACTTTCAAGCTAGTCAACGTATCCAAGTAACAAATATCTCGACCAGTTAAACCAATTTATTATTATTGCGTCCAATCCCAAAGAAAGTACACAAAAAACTAGTATTCTTTGTCGTACCGTTGTCGATAACCTGCCTGCGAAATACATAAGATTGAAATGACGTAGGGTGTTTTACGAAAAGGGAAACACACTTTTGTGCTTCATAAACATTATGGATGGCTCATTTGTGTAAGTGGACAGAGCTCATAGGTATGACAAGAACTGGCGTCTGCGACATGGCATTGCGTTTGCTAAGGGTTTATTTAAACTATTACTATTGACTAGCCATCTAAAAGTTCGAACCTAAACCCTTTCTGACGTTGATCAACAGCTGAAGATTACTCGGCAGCTAATGGATGGTTGTCATAAATTTCAATAACATAAGAAGTAGCAGACATCGTTATCCGTATTCACAGTTCCAATATTAAGTGCGCAGATAATTTTCAGTGATAAATAGAGCTTTACGACGAACGTTACAGCAAATACTCTCCACGTAGCATATAGAATATATAGCACGTGAAAAACCATATCAGACCTGATAATATATTAACCAGAAGCTTTATCATTATATCAGACAAATTATCGGTACTTGTTCTAGCCAATGCAACGTCAACGAGATGCATGCGGTCAAGTTCGCAAAGAAAATTGGTCGGATTACACAAACATATTCAGATCGGTATTATGGCCAGCCCGGCCACAGCATAAACAATAATAACGTAAATATAAATATATATAATTAGTAAACAGTAAGTTGATTACGAATTTTGACTGTATAAAACGTATCCAAAACATAATTAATTCACATTATGGAGTTATGCCGAGACATTCTGGCGCACTAAAACGATGCGTTTCTTCGGTTTGCACCAAACTCGGGGTTTGATCTGCATTCTTTACCCAAGCATTTACAACCAATTATTAAGCAAGAAGTAGCAATGCTCAGTCTTAGATTTGTTATTTTAAAATAAAGTCGCTGTTCGCAAGGTCACAAACATATTGAGCTACGATATTAATATATAATTTTTTAATATTGTTAATTATATTTGCTATGCAAGATATTGTCATAATATCTAAATACAAATGAGTGTGTAATCGTAATACTTGGGAAGCATTCTATTCAATTTTTGCTCAAATATACATTAAAATATCATTAGCAATAATCCTATACAGATTTTATGTTACAGGTAAGCATGAATACTACTAAACCGATATGTTACAGTTTCTTTACAATACACTCAAGCTCTCTTTGTTCTCTCTCATTACGCTCAACCGAACTTGCTTCACTCTCTATCCGGATATGTACTGATGACGATACAAAGTTTTCTACTATGGACACTGGCATTGGATTCTCATTTCCAATAGAGTCCCAAGGAGTTGAAGTTGAGCGCCGATGTAGACCAACATACGCGAATTGAGAATGCGATAATGCGGACTGTGGATGTAGTTGAGTTCCGGATAAAAGGCCATTTGCGGTTGTCTCGTTGGATATGTCGCCAGCAAAGCTTAAAGTAGTTGAGGAAGATTTCAAAGATGATATCGACTGTTTGTTCTTTAAGTGATCATCGTCTGTTACATCGTCGTCGCAACATTCTGTGGCGAGTGTCTCTAATCTGTCTTGTTGAAGAGCTTGCATTTCATGTTGCGATGTCTCGGGACTTTTTTCCGATGTTTTCGTATTCTCAACCGCTTCACAGGTTGGCGCCATAAAAATTTTGATGATCAAATTGTACCTTAACCATTCCAAAAAGTTGGGTTGGCTTTGATAATCGTCTTTCACTTCGATAATCGGTGAGCTTGAATTTGTATATGATTCAGATGTAACCGGTGGTTTCAATTCTAATGTATTTTTGCGTGTCGGTGCGATCGCCTTATTGTGTGACTTGTGTGGATATTGTTCTTCGTATGGATTTATGTATTTTTTCCAAAAATAGATACTAAGGTTATCAAGACTTTTCGCCACAGCAACATCCTGAGAAAATACAAGCGCATCCAGAATACCTGTATATAGGGGGGGAAATATGGTCCGTGAATATGAATTTTGTCAATTGATTACTCTAAAAACTCTAGCTAACAGGCGCGCATTGGCAATGACAATAACGCATTTTCGGTACATACCTTGTATACTTGAACATACGTAGGTCATCAGAAGCAACTCGTAGTTAACTTTTCGATCGGTATATGCCAATGTCTCTACTAGGAAGTTGGGTGTTTGTGTAATAATTGGCACAAGTGGATAGCACATTACTTTTCTCACTACGACTAGAATGAAATTTTTTTGTTTTATGACCGAATTTAGTTTATTAGCCGCCGATTGGTTGGCCTGGGATTTTTGCGAAGTGTTTGCCAACTTGTGCTTGGCAGACTTTAACTTAACCATGACGGCAATGACGACAAATATACAATATACAACTGAAAGTAGTTGCCATGCAAAGAGAGTTGACCATTGCCACATGATATTGAACCTTTCGCCTGAGCCACGAAACCAGCATACACTATACAGTGTTGATGTATTGTATTAGTAAACTATATAGTCACGTGAACAAACAGATAAAGTACTTACGATTCTGGCTCGTCCCACCCATACATGTCCACTGAAACTGGTACTAACGACAATGTAAGTGCCAAAATAAAAGAAATCGGAACGTAATACTTTTCCAAATTATATCTTCCTCTATATTCGTGCACGAACACAGCTAGTAGATTCTATGAAATATAAAGGGTATGAGTATGAGACAAGAAGATTAATATGGAAAAGTTTTTACCAAAACAAAACTAAAAACAAACTTACGATGGCGATACAATTGGTAAGGAATATCGACAGCAGACTTGTGAACACCCACCCCCATACCTGTAGCAAAAAATTTGGGTTAGATACGAATTGTAAATACGATTAGATCTATTTTTATAATGTTAAGCGTACCGTAATCCCACAAAGTCGACCCGGGGTCGTAACAGCCAAACTCGCTATCTGAAATATCGAGTACATAATGTCTGTTATGGTGATGGCAGTACTCAGCCTGAATGACACTCTATCTGCCAGTGAACTGTATCGGAATCTGATGAGAATATACACGAACACGGCTGTTAAGCAAAAACATATTGATATAATGTTTAATGGCACGACTATATTATATATAGCTCGGCTCTGTTCCGCGGTTATTGTTGACAGTGCAGTATTATTGACCATTGTTCAAATGAAAAACAGGTTCCGGCGGAAGGATTAATTGATTAAGTGTATAGTTGATTGAGTTGATTGAGTTGATGGAGTAAAAGAAGGAAGGACAGTATAATTTTTCAAGACCCACTAATAAAGGCTTGTTTTGCGTACCCGGCAATGCATAACGGGAAAAGATAGAATATGCCAGGAAAAGAACGTAACGGGATTATATAGTAAATATCAACATTCGCTAAGTTCTATTTGTATGACAGATGCAGACGTATCCGCTGATTCAGTTTAATCAACCTGTTTATCTGTTACATAAAGTAGCTTTTTACATAAACATATGTATACAAGTCAGTATATTGCTTGATGGTATTGGCTTAGACATGTACATTATAAAAATATTTGACGTTTCTTATCATGAAATGATAAATAAGGTTTCGCCAATAGTATTAAACATCACCCTTGTAGCACAACGACCGTGAACAATTATTACAATAGTTTATTTACAACAATATAACAATATAAACCGGCTGGTTGAGTCCTTACTGTTGTATCATTCACGCTTCATTAATTGCGTATATTTTGTACAGCATTTTTTATACCGATACCCGTTATACATAGGAATGATGAATATTGAGTTATTTTTATTATTTCTAATAAATAAACCTCGTACATGCATCAATAATACAAATAGAGTGCGAGGCGTAACCTTATCGTAATGCTCGTAAGAGTAATGATCAGCATGCGGAAATTTCCCGACACATTGTATATTGATTGCCACACTGCATTATCAATAATTTTATAGGTGCGAAGGGGGACATTACCAATTGTCATCTCGAAAGCTATCAGTATTCACAAACAGACTATGCGTATCTAGACCGTTACCCTTGCGTCAATTTCAGTTAATATGTTCGTAAACTGAACGGCAATAGACCAATAGAAAGTGACGCCAAACATTGATTAGCATTTATAATTTATTATTTCGTTTACTGATTACAAAATTATTTATTAAATTATTTCTCGACACAATTCTCGATCGCCCGCTCTCTCTTTCTCTCTCTAATATCTCTCTCTCTCTCTCTCTCTCTCTCTCTCTCTCTGTCCGTCCGTTTGTTTTCTGTTTCGGCAATGCGCCTGATCCGTTTAACCCTTTTGATTGCAAATAATATGCAACGTCACACATCAGTGATAGAGCGAACGTAACACAAATTCAACTACCCTGCATATTAATGCAATACAGAACCACATACACTTTGGATTTAGTAGTACAGTGACAATTACTATTATGGCTAAATGCGATAATGTTGATTGGTACGGCGAATGAAGATTGAATGCACAGAGTTAACTCGTGCTCCAAATAAACAAATTCAGTCCCGATCACATGTAGAAAGCTAAGCTTATGATTTTAAATTTCCGCGCAAAATTCCTAAGTTAAAGAGCTTGACCATCCTTCTTTTCAATCCCATGCGTAAATGTGTAACCATCAGACCATCAAGAACACAGTATAATTCATCGATTCGATGGGGGCATAGACACATACAAATGTTCGTGTATGTCTGGCAGTTTTTCCCTTCATTTTCACTGCAGCTCCCCGTTCCCGCCACTATGATCAGCAAATCAATGGCGCAAATATAGTAATAGACAAACGCCTATCCATTCTAACCCTAAATGACAATGATTCGCAATCCCTAATATCACCGAAAATTTCCATCTCAGCGATCATAGTTCAAAAGAGTGTTCTGTTACAATGGCTGGAAAGACGGCTTTAGTACTTGGCGGAACAGGTGTGTGTAATACTCTGAAAGTGACTTACTTGCATGTATGCGATGCGTCCCACATATTACTATTTGTCGAAGAGTGAGTGAGCTGCTGAACGTGAACTTGTTCAAATAGGTGCTGTTGGTAAGACACTTGTAAGAGATTTGTTACATAACGGCGGGTTTTCTAGAATTACCACCGTGGGAAGAAGAGAGTTTGAATATGATGGTCCGAATAAAGACATACTGGTGAGTCGATTCAATCTAGTGTGATCACGCAAAGTCGATTACTGTAAATTCAATCACCACTCTCACACGCTATGAATATTCATAATTCAGACACAAAAAGTAATCGACTTTGAAAAGATTGATGACTTTAAAGATGTCTTTGTAGGTCATGAGTAAGTGTATTATTGCAAATGACAAGTGGTACTTATCAGCGAATCGCTCGTACTACTCTTCACACGCTTTTTGAATTTCAAATTCCACTCATTTACCTCCCTAGTGTCGTCTTTTGTACTCTAGGCACTACTCGAGCACAGGCAGGCTCAGCTTCACGATTTGTTGAGATAGACAAGGGTTACGTCATTTCATCGGCGAAAATAATCAAGCAACAAAATCAAGACAGAGATGTTCATTATCTATACTGCTCAAGCACCGGTGCTAACAAGGATTCAATGTTTCTATATCCTCGAACAAAGGGAGAGATAGAACATGAATTAGGAGATGTTGGGTTTAAAAGAGTAACTATATTTAGGCCCGGCTTTTTGAAAGCGGAAGAAGAGAGACCCGATCGGAGACTTTTCGAAAAATATTTACTTGGTACCGTAATTGGACTGATGAAACTCGTAGGCAGTAAGGGCTATGTCGATGTTGCCACTGTCGGAAGAGGTAGTGATTATGTGATATTCTTGATTACGCTAGTTATTATGCTAAATGTCAATGTTTACGTTAAACAGCAATGCGTAGATATGCCGTCGGCGAATCGTCAATTTCCCCTGATGCGAAAACGTTGGAGAATGGAACACAATTTGAGATATTTGATAACAAAAGTATACACGAGATGGGAGCTGAGAAATAACAAATGTAGATTATGATATACCGAAAATCTTATCACGTGCGCGTTACTATCTTCGCTAACACCAACAATACAACGATTTGACAATATATTGTCTTGACGTCAATAAATGCTATAATAAATGAGCTTCATAACGTTCTAATAGTTGTATATACTCCAGTATGCCAATATATATGTGCATGTGTGTGTTGTGTGTTGTGTGCATTTTGTGCGTTGTGTTGTTGCGTGTTGTGTTGTGTGTGTTTATGTAATAATTTTTGTCACATGCGTGTTATAATTATTATGTTACGAACGAAATGAAGTAGATATTCACCTTTCAAATGGCCACAATATAACAATGCTAATACCTACAGCATTCACTCAGCATTCACTCCATATCAACTGATAGCTTGAGAACTTCTAACTCGAAACTTGGTTGTGTGCGATAAAATCAGATAAGCGAATTCAGATACCAAACCCATACATAATGTTGCCACGTATTTATTGACTTACAGTTTTGTTTTTGGTACCAGTTTCTGTCTTGGAAACCCCCCGAAACGTGAGTCCTTTGTGCAGTGCGACATAATTATGTAATAAAAATGTGCCCGTCTGTAATGCAAATAGCAAAAAGTAAGATAAGCTATTGCAGCAATATTGGTAAATTAATAAAAATGAAAATAATGAAAACGGGATGCAATTGACCCAATTCGAAAATAGACACATCGTTAAATATCATACCAAAAAGCGATATTTAATCAATATTGTTTCGCGATATTAACCGTGCGTATTTCAAACCAGAATGCGATTGGGTCGGAACATTACTACGCGATAACGTAGTAAGAAATATGTGCAAAGCATATGAAAAATTAATTTAATCGTAACATGCACTTTTCTCGTTCAAGGCCAATCTGGAAACAATGTCCGCAAGAGTATCTAGTAAGTCCCATACAGACACTGAGAACGCGAATTAACTGATCGGTAAGAAAGATGTTAGTCACGCTTTATTCCAACCGACCGATCAGTTGAAGTGTTGCGCGCTGATATATATTTTGCCGATATACAAGTTATAACATTGTTTATAAAAATCACGGGCCAAAAGTGATTGGTGTTACGAGAACTCTTTACAATTGGGCAGGAAAAATTTTACCACCTTTATCTCACCGCTCATTGAGTTATCAAACATAACAAACATATACAATCTTGTCTATATTGATCTACTAACTGCAATGCCATCGAGCTTTAATTAACAATTGACACCAATAAACTAAGCTTCTATCGGTTCTTCAATCGAAGTTCAACTTTACATTCAATATGGGTTCTACCAACATCACACTTATGTATAAATATATAAACGTTATTATAGCCAGCTCACGCGTATCTAACTTCCCATCAAAGCACAAACATTGCCGAGCAAACTGCCAACACCATTAATAACAATAGTCGCGCGCAGACTAAATATATCGATGTTGCTGCCGAGATATCTGACTGGGTAAGATCTGTGGCAACTGAACCGTCAGTCGTTGATACACCATTTCCAGTGATATCGGTTGCTGTTGCGTCTACACTTTGAGTCGTCGTCGTCGTCGTCGTATATGTAGACGTAGTGTTGGTCCCTGAATCGTTGGTACTGTTATTAGCAACAGTTGCATTAGATTCCAAGTATGGAGCGAAACCATTGCACTCTGCCACTGGCTTGAGTGTAAACCCTCCTGCTTGAATGTTGTCAACACTCTCCGGGGTAGCTATGATTCCTGGAAGAAAAAGATCATGGTTCAAAGAAATGTGTCCATTTGTCGTATTCAGGTTAACCCATCCTTTAAACAAGTCACTCAATTGTGTAGGATCAAAAGTGGCGTTGTCTTGTTGTAAATAGTCTTGTGTATCTAAATCCCAGAGCACTATTTTATATCCTAATTGAGCCGCTATGTCTCTTATCCTGTCGTCGTAATCCCCAAATGGTGGCCGCATAATCTTGGGCGTCACGCCAACTGCAGCCTTAATTGCTAGTTCGGTCCATTTCAACTCTGCGATAACTTGCTCTGTGGTGAGTTGGGTGAGATGTGGGTGTGACCACGTATGAAGTCCAATTTCATGGCCTACATATAACGACATTGGTCAGAACGAGCAGATCGATAATTAGTGATAAAACACGAATTTATGTTAATTACCAGAATCTACGGCTCTTTTCAGTATATCAGGAAACTGAACCACCTGTGCACCGATGACAAAAAAAGTCACCTTTGTATCTAACAAGTCGAGTTCATCCAAGAGTTTCGGAGTATTCTCTCTGGGAAAGAGAAAACAGAGTCATCAGTTAGCGCACATGCGATCGTTATTATCGTTATTTGTAGCTATAACTCGCAACACTTACGAAGGACCATCATCAAATGTAAGCCCCCAATCTGAAATAAACAATTTTGAGTGATGCATTAATAGACAGCGTATCGCATATCATTTATTATATTACTTTGCAAGCTATTTAACATTTTATCTGTTTCACACAATCTTACCTTTAGTCTCAGGACAGTTTACGATATCATTTGGCCCAACACATCCATTACACTGCCACGTACACCACTGATCATTGTCGCAGTTAGCCAACTCGGATGTTGCTACCGGAGCATCAGTCACTTCACTCAGATCTACAAGATCTAGCCATTCGGGCTCGGGAGAAGGAATCTCGTTCGGAGGTGGCCAATCACCAGGTAGTTGAGCGTCGACTAGTGCGTCAAAGACGACGCAGAAGGTGAGAGCAAAAACAACGATGATATTGCACTTGCGCATATGTGATTATGTTTGCTTTTGTGATGATAACGTTTGTACAATATCGTACTGTGCCGAGAGGTAGAACGAATGCTCACTCTCTACTGAATGCAAAATCAATTTGCATTCACAAAGTAAAGAGTCAAATTGGGGGGGGCTACGAGGATGAGAGATTGGGAGAGGAGATTAATTAAAGAGCGAACGATCGCTCGAAGCAGCCAGTGCTCTTGCAGTTAGTCTATAGAATTGATGGGGGAAACGTTTGTTAACGGAACATGCGGGGTATTTATGGTAGGATGCTATGATGTTGATGTAGCATCTTTCTTTGATATTTTTGGTAGTAGATCTTTTCCTAATTAGTGCGGGCAAGTAAAAAACTAGGGGTGTGTGCGTTTTGCAATTGGTTGTACAGGTTAACAACAGCATGACACATCCGGGCATTGGACAATGGAAAAAAGAGGCCAAGGTGGAACCAAGATGGAACAATCAATGATATTCAATGTACCATGCCCAAGACACTATACCATCAGAATAGTAGATTAAATAAATGCGCGTCAGAAATTGCAATATGGCTAATATGCTCAACTAATTACTTTTGCATTACAGACATTAGATGATGCCTACTATTTGCGGTACTTTATTCTATTCATGTCCAAACCTCGCTGTCGGAAACAATGCAACTTGTTAAAAACGTGCTTATAGAGAGATTATGATTATACGGAATGTTGGTTGTTGTTTTGTTTTGTTTTTTTTTTTTTAATTTTCTGCTGTGAAGATGTTTGCGTAAAGGGCTCATAGAAGGTAAATTAAATGAAGAAACGTAGTGCCGTTACTAGCTGCGTACCACGTGATTTAGTATAGTAAGACAATTGATGGTATATAATACATACTTTTGTTTTTTGTAATATTAAAAACCATGTGGTATCACACCTGTGAAATGAATACTACAATGTAATATCATCATCTTTAGCACTATGCGATTGCATGCTTGAAATACCACATAATTTTTCATACTTAAAATACTATATCGGCTAACCAATTTAGTATATGAAGGGTGATGCTTTCAGCGAGACTACGCGCAAAGCTATTCGCATTCGAAATTGCAGTCTTGTTGTTTTTATTTTGTACGTTCTTTTTATCATTGCCGCATTGTGGATACCCTAAACCTCCCCTCAGCTATATCGTACAGTATGTTTTATTCTTCTTTGATGTCTTATTATTATCTACAATACCCGCGTTTGTTTGAAATGACGATCTACTCGATATTTGGTGCTTGATCGACCTGAGCTTTACTGAGCGACTGTCATTGCAGTTACAGTATGTTAACTCTACTCTAATGCAAAGCACGGATAAGAGGGAGGATGTGCAACATATTCAACAACTAGCGAACAGATTCGGTCACGGTCGTAATAGTTGTCGTCATTCTCTGCGAAATAAAAAGTACAAATAGACTGACGAAAAGAGTTTACTTGTCTCGTTCATGAACAAAATTTTCTTTTTTATTGAATGTGTTTTTATCTTTGGCAGAATGCTTAAATAATTCTTGCTCTATCTTTTCAGATAATATCGTATTTACAGTCTAGTCAATGTTACTAACGTCATGCTCATTATCGGCAATTCTCAGACGAACCAACGTACAACTCAAAGAATAGTGAAAAAAAAAAAGACATAATCGAAATAAAGTGTGGGGGTTGATAGGTATTAAGGAAGCGGTTGAACCCGTTGAGTGAAAAAAAAAGGTTCTAATTACAATATTTTGTGGTAAATAAGAAAAAGAAAAGAAACTCAAATGATTTTTTTATTTTTTAAATAGTATGAATTTAACAAGCAAATTACAAGCATATTTACTAAATTCGGTTCCAGCCATCATCAAAACTATACCATTATGACTTTAGGATCGACGAGTGCGGATGAATCAGATGAATCCCCATTCCCCATGCTTTTCTAAGATCGTTAATCGAGTGCGTTCCATTATTCGCCGTCGGCAGACCGTCCACCCATGATAATAACTTGGTCGCTATCCTAACAAACTCCTTACTCATTGGAGGGGTACACATCAACTCGTTTGCTCTATTCAAGAGCTGTCGGATTTGCTCCGTCCCGACGTATGCTGTCTGCCCGTTACATACCGGACATGTCCAATCGACCTCTTCATAATCGCCTTCTCTAGCGTTTACACACGTTCCGTGATACCATTCGTCACACTTGTCGCACTGTATCATAAACGACTTTGAATCGCCACTTCGACAACAGCAATACACCGAGCCATTCTTACTACGACCCGCGGACCGATTAAAAATTACCCCAGATATACATTTCTCAACTCTCTCGTCCCACTTCCGCAGGAACTCGTCACCAATCTCGTCCACGTGCCATATGTGTCTATTCAATCGCTTAAATATAACATCTGCTTCTAATGTCCATTCCTCAGCTGTCTCAATAAACGATGCTAAGCTACTCAAGTCGACGGGATACCCGTTGACCATTGCTTCATGACAGAACATTCTCAGTACGTCCAAATCGGGATTTTTGACAGTGGCAAAGTACCTGTCGACAGATAAAATCCATTCTTCCGCTTTGTCGGCAACTGTTTTTGTGCATTCCATCAAATTACGTAATATATTTTCAGGGTATCGTATCCTCAGATAAGCGCAATTCTTCCCACATCGACATATTTCGCTTACACGATCTTCCGCATGGTCATGACACAAACTGGCTGGCATACATTTTGATATCACCTGAGACAGATAGCTAAACGTATTACATTGCTTGCATTGAATAAGATTATCAGGTCGATCGAACGGTTCATAGACAATCTCCAAATTAAGAGTAGACGCAATTCGTTTTCTTTGAGCGAGTTCTCTCGTAATTAATCGATTTAACGGTTCATGTAGCCATTCCGCTGTATTGTATTCGTTGTAATGTCTGAGAGCATATTCGATTAACAGCTGGTCATGCGCAAATACTGGATTTCTCTTTGTCAACTTGTATGTCTCAACTGCATCTTCGCCAAACGATATCCAGTCAGGTAATGCAAAGTTTACTGCTTCAGCCAAATTAAAGCCATGGTTAAAACCTGCGTGGTATGCTCGAGGAAATGTTACCACGAACTGGCCTGGCCTCTGATCAATAACGTAAACTGGAACTTCTTCTTCGACTAATTTTCTTGGATCTAAAATAGTTACCAAATGTGATAATAAATCTGGAGAAATCTTGAACAGCTCTGGCAAGAGTTTTTTGGCTGCGTTCTCGAATTTAGTGGCTTCCGATGCAGGTATCCCGTACCATGTCTTGGTTGCACCCCAGTGATTGTAATTAATTGAATATGTAAAATGGTCTTCGACGTGCCAGCAGAACGCGCTGAAGGTCATCCCAACGTACAACCACGGTACCATCATTCCTGGAATATCTGGTTGTACAGCGCCAAGAAGATTATTCGGAAGGTAAGCTAAATTACGTAGATTCCATGGGTCACGAGCATATAAATTAGTAGGATGTCTTTCCGTATCAGGAAATCCGCCTCCATAGCTATAAGAATCCGTATCTGCTCCGTATTCGATTTCCACAGTTTCGTCTAGCGAACCTGCTAACCGCCAAAACTCATGCTCCAGATGGCTTTCCAAATCCATAGACTCGCCCTCATTTTCGGGCAGCGGATGGCTTTGCAGATAATGTTCGAGAAATGCATCTGCTTTCTTCTTGAATTGTCGAAGTGTATACGTCGTTCCTTCATCAAATCCGAATTCAAGTCCCATCCTAATTAAGCAGTACGGACATAACCAGCGACGTGATATCTTTGTTTGATCGTCTATTCCCATACAGCGACGATGATATCTTCGCTCACAATCACCGTGGCAGAGTAAACCGCGCTCTCCTCGTTGTATTTGTTGATCGCAGTCACCACATAGCGACATCTGTTCTTCGTATGTGACTTTCTTGGCTTTGCTTTTAGAAACCTTTCTTGCTTTATGCACATATTGCTCGAACGGGTCTATTATTTCAAAATATTTTTCTTTTATTGTTTTGGACGCTGATGTGCATTTCCGAGAGTAGTCACCACCATTAATCTCCCGAGCAACCTCTGCCCACTGTTTTTTTCGTGTTATCTATTGAACCGATGGTCAAGACGAAAAGTAAGAGAGTTTTTGAGTACGACATCCTCCCGATATGCTTGTAATATACTCGCAGAATTTGAGAATACTTGGCGATTAATATGCCGTCCAAGACGAATTTATATAACCTTCTCGTATTACCTCTTTAGGCCCGCTTCTAATCTTTACTGCCTTTGCTAATCTGTGCAGATCGATTGGCCGACGATCCAGCTGTGGTAAGCGGGCGAAGGGCCTTCCTTGCTGGGCGTGATACTGTCTTAATTGATCCACGTAAGTAAGTTTATATCTCGTTACTCCTTCCATTTGATTCACCCGTTGAAGACGAGTCTTAAATGTGAATCTCTGTTATAAAAGACATTGGAAAAGAAATGGCAATAATCAGTGAATAACTTAGTCGTATTAGAGATAACGCAATAAATAGAACAAAGTGGCTAACTACTAACAAACAGAAATACGAGAAAAAATGCCGAACTTTCAAAAATAGATATTCAAATCGTCTGAGACAATAATACACATCGCAAATAAACCATTATCGTCTATATCGCCTAACCCATTGTCTAGCAACCTTCTGACGGGTTATCATCCAAAGAAGAAAATTACAAGTATGAATGAACTATCATCGGCGTATATGTAAACTCTCTTCTCTAGCAGTCTATTGACTACAAAATCTCCTGTTTGTTGTATTTTCGCCGATTCCACGAATAATCCGTTAAAGCAGACTTGCGACGAAAAAATGAACTATAAACTCCATAATCGTCCAAATCCTCCGTTTGCTCAGCAGCATCCGATGTGACAATAAATGCATCCATTTTCGGAATACGCCAAATAATTATTTCCTTTTTACCACCTCATCCCTCACTTTCTATAACGCGTCTTCCCAGACATAAATATATTAAATGCACGAAAACACAATTTCACTTACTTCTGTATCCAAACTAAAATTGGGTTTCCAACCATAAGGCGGTACGACTTTAACAACCCCGTACTTTTCTGCATCATGTCGTATTGACTCGATATAAGCAATGGGATCAGCGAATTCTTCTACTGATGGATGGTAAGTCTTGGACTCTTTAAGGCCAAAAGGACGTTCGGGCTTGGGAATGTCTGGATATGGTGCCGAGGTCTGTACAGTGTCCATTTCTAAGCCACGTCGTCTGTGGATGTGTGGAATTTGTTGGCTATGTGAATAGGGGAAGAAGGATTGTGATGACTTTGTACGTGTTGAAATAGGACCGAGTTGAATGCCTTCAGCGCTACGCATCCTCGAGCTAGCGTAAGGGTGTTGTCTAAGTCTATGTGAGCTTTTTCTAGTCTGCATTATTCTATCGTATGGTCTACCGAAGGGTAATTACAAAGAGAAGAGAATATTAAGAGAGTTTAAAGAAGAAATCTCGACCGATTTTGGCGGGCCAATTGAAGGCCCGGATTTAGGGTTTGTGCAACTTGGGGTTGGGAAACACAGAGACGAAAAATCTACGGTACGCACGATTTAGGATGTTCTATCAACATCGATATACCGAGAAGAATACTCATTAAATGAAGCAAGAATTAAAAAGAGTTCCTGTTACTATGGCGTTACATCATGAATATTTTTTATTGTAGCTACTGTGGTATAGTTTCACTTTTTCTCGTTCAATTATATCCAATGTGCAACGTGCGTTCTCATCGATATTAATATCTACTGTCTAGCAAGGAAAGGTGACATGAACGATAATATTAATAATCACTCTAACATTAAAGCCTTAAATTATTTGTAGATTATCGATATCGTCAACGTAATGCGATAGACTCACCCAATAGGATGACAACGATTATATTTGGGACAAACTGTTTGAGCCGCAGAGATTATCTTTATTTCTTTGTCTATGGTTTATACTGCAAACTTTCAAAGCCCTCGTCCTTGAAACGTGCTATTGAAGTGACTGTTATATTAAGTATCATGATTATCACATGGCTTATTTGAATAGAATCGGGAAATTATCTACATTATAATTCTAGTAATTAACAATAATGGCTCGTGACCCCCGAGCTAACTGACTTGCTATATATACTATGCGCAACCGGGCACTATCAAAAAGTCGTTGATAGTTTACTATCAAAGAACTTCATATCTTCATTATGTTATACAAACCACAAAGTTGTATCGCAAGCTTACTAAATATAGAGTTAATTCTTGAGAAGTCTCTAATATTGGAGCCTAAATGTTATTGGTGGATTAGTGGATTAGTACGTCGACTTTATGTGACGAAGATAAATCATACGACGGAATCTCGCCCAGTAAAAATATTGTACGATTAAAACTTTAAATTCAAATATTACGTCATTATGCTTTTCGCAAAGAAAGCCGTCGAAGATAAACGTCGTATTTAGTTCTGGAGACAATAATCAATTAAAATGGGACCGTGTCTCAGATTGCAAATATTTGAGTTTGTCGTCCGTACAAATATTAGCGGTGAGTATTGTCATTGCTACGGTATCAATTATAAGTTATAATTTTAAGCAAATTAGTTTTAAATCATGAGAACGAGCAGAGTTATTGCACCGAACGAATGACGAATAACGTATATGACTTATGCTTTACTGAATTAAATTCACAGAGATTAGTTACTACTGAGACTAACAACCACACGTGTAACGCATACCTTACATTATACAAAAGTAGAATAAAGCAACACGAGATTTACCAGCATATCAGTGTAAGACTGTGACAAAGTGTTTTCGTGTCCGAATCTAATTCATCTTTATAGAGGTTACAGCGATAGTATTTCTGACGAAATTGCCAAGCATGTCAAAAATAGAATATATTAATATCGTAGTCCTGATCCATTATTGAACATCGCCCGTTCATGTTCCAAACTTCGACGTTTTTGCTTAATAATTATGCGCCAAACTTCTATCTTAATTATCTCTACGGTTTCCCATATCTCTGATGATTCTATTTGACACGTTAGTACATATTGTTAATTAAACCTACGTGCCATATCAAAGAGAGAGAGGGAGAAAGAACGACAAATGTGAACTGGTTTGGACAAGCTATACTCCCATAACTAACCTCCAGACTCGTTTTTTTCTTACGACACAATATACTAATTGCATACAGATAACAAATGCACATATTTCTCGATATATTATAATACAGCCATCTACGCAGCAACTATTATTTTTCAATAAAATATTGTGTTATTTACTAGCTCGCTAATCAAGATGAATTGTTACTAACATGATGACTTACACTTGCAACATGTTCGCTTATCACATTGACATTTGTTAGAACACCAGAGAAATTTAATGGTCTCAACATCGTAATGACCATTCAATTTACTCGTCAGCGAATAAAATCGAAAAGTAATTGTCCATCTATTTTGGTAAAAAGACGGGACACGCTGTAGCCTCACTTTACGAGGGATTTGCTTTCAATCTAAAAACCAAAGCTCCAAAATTAATAAAATAATATTGTATTTTTAACAGAGATTCTCTCTATGTTTGGGGGTGCGACATAGTCTTTGAACTACAAAAATAAATTAAGCCCGGCATTTTCCACTTTTTTATTAAACTAAATTTGCTTAAATTGTTTGCGCAAACCTCACCAAAATTATAAAGCGGATTCGAAGTATTGCTTTTACAGCAAGCGCGAGTGTTTTAACTCTCCTGGAGTTTTATCAGTACGAACTTCTATCGTCCCAGCTTAGCAATTTTGGTGTACAATAAACACGGAGTTCAACATTAGTCGAAAGTTGAATACATAAGAATCTGACCTCAATAAAATCCCATTCACTTGCATTCGTGATAATTTAACGTTTTACGTAGTGAGAATTGTTAAGTTTTCTCGCTGCGGGATATTCAAATCCATACATCTTTATCACACACCTGAAACGGATACGCGTTTATTGATAAAATAAGGATCTTTTTCGATATTATAAACTGGCAAACACACCGATACTAAGTCTTAATCTACGCTGCTTTTATATCTTTCGAAGATTTTTTTTAGCATCGCTTACAAATCTACCGCCTATTTAATTAACTATTGTTCTTCGTTAATTTCTAATTACTTGCAGCTACTTGTCCACCGTCTTCGGTACTGGCTCAGACCGCTTAGTTGCGACAACTCTCTGTAAGCAGGCTTTAACTTGCAATTAACATTTATTAAATATTTACATTTTTATGTTATTTATATTAGACCGAACATTAAAACTATATGAAAGATTGAATTCAAAATACTCCTTTATCGTACGGATTCTATCATAAAGCGATGCCTCGAAGAACTCTCAGGTATAGCCCATCACGTTTGCATTCTGGAATGTAACTGTATGAAAATGCATATACTAAACCAATAAACATATTATAAACATAGAAAAATACATGTACATTTCTCTCCTGCGCAAAGTCACCTCCCTCCTACAAATTATTTTTTCCCTTCCTCGCAACCCATTTCAAACCGGCGACGATGCTGCCAGGGTTTCTAAACAGATCTGGAGCTTTCACAACTTCTGCCCAAGCTTCCTTAGTGACCTCCCCCCCCCCCCATAGCAGCAACGACTCCTATGTCGCGGAGTACGGTACCATCGAACGGACCAAACTCCGTACGACATTCCCATAAAAAAAACTTAGTTCTATATATTTCGATCTCTATTATAGTATAAGTAATGATAAAAATCAAACTATCAATGTCTTCTTCACCCGCTTTGCACTGGACATGAAATTTGGCATTTCCAAATTCCGCGCAAATATCGAGTTTACTAAAACGAATAAAATAATTAAAACAGTATAACAGCAATACTTTGTTTAAAAAACCTTCTTACTTTGTTGTAAATCCCGCTTCCTCAAGTTTTCTTTCGATGCGCTTTACAAATCGTTCGTAACGACGTTTTGATGTTTGATGACTTGTTTGGGTAAGGAGAACAGGTAGTGTCGACGCTATATTGTCAGTTGCAACATTATACGTATAGATGTTGTAACAAGGCGTGTGGAGAATCTGATATGTCGATATATTGTTGTGATAATTGTAATAATAATATCAATGTAAAATTTTTTTACTGATTAACGAGTTTTATGTTATTGTATAAAATAGACAATCCTTCTAAATGTTTCGCGTGGCTTATCGTAATTGTATAATCTCCAAAAATAAACACCTCCTTAAGTGTTTCTACTGTTTATATTTATACTGCTTTTATTAATATTACCACTCATGGGTAATTAAATCATACGCGTGGCTCATTGTTACACCGTATAGTTGTTATCGATATTATCACTATAGATCAGTTTAATTAACTTGTTAACCAGTGAAAATTTTTTTACTGCGTGGCTTATCGGACTTTTAATTTTTACGTGTACTCCGAAATGTTACATTGATATCATTGTTTTTTATTACGGAACAATCGCAATATTATGCTATGATGTCACACTACTGATCATACTCCTTTATACGTATATGAAGTTACGTAATTGACAATATCTAACAAGTCGACTCATATGTCAATATACAACGCCATCTTAAATATAAATACAAATACTCTACACCATATCACGCACATACGACCGAGAAAAAGTTTTTACCATCACTCCATCTTACTCACGCGCATACAAATCATCAAACGACGAACGTTGACACTCAACAACGACACGGTTTATCGCTTCCTCTTCTCCAAAGCGCAAATACGACGACCGCCGAATAGACACGCTTTTATTTAACCGTCGTCCGAGCAAGTTTAATACCTTTATGTGGGCATGTCGTACGGGAGTTGGTCAGTTCGATAATGTTGCTCCCTGACGACATAGGAGTTGTTGCTGCGGGGAAGTTACTTGTTCTCCCTACGTGCATACGACCTGAACGATGTCCACAACGCGGAAGGAAACGGAGTTCGAAATTTTTATCGAACAAAAGCTTGCTCAAGCATGCGTCGTAATGGAAAGAAGGTAAGAAGGGTTTTTCTTGTAACGTATTGCTGTTATATTGATTTTAATCATTTTATTCGTTTTTTTAGTGGAAAAGAAAACGGCAGCATTGCGGAATTTGGAAATACCAAATTCGTTTATTCCTTTCCCTTTATGGAGTGACACAAGACCCAAGAGTACATGATTGGTATGCAAAGCACACGCGCAGAATATCGGTAAGTTTATTTTTATCATTACTTAATACTATGATAGAGATCGAAATACATAAAATTAAGCTTTTTTTCATTTTTAAGATAAATTTGTCGTATGAGAATTGGTCGGTTCGATGATGCCGTACCCCGGCGACATACAAGCCATTGCTGCTACGGGGGGTTTACTAAGGGAGTTTGAGCAGAAGTTGTGAAAGCTTGCAGCGTTTACAACGGGTTGTGGCGGAGAACGATGTGGCATTAATGAAAAGAGCGGAAGCAAATCGGAAGGAGGCGTTGTACGAAGAGGGGAAATGACGGTGGCCAGAAGGAATGTTTAGTTTGCCAGGTTTGCTTTTAAGCATTGAGAGCTCCAAAGGGAGGAGGTTATTTTAGTCTTTTCAAAGAACGACAAAAAGAGATTGATTGGTAGGGGGAGGAGACTTTACACAGAAATAGAAACCATTTTATATTTGGTACCATACATGGTTAGCGATATGTATATGTATGATATGAGCGTTCTTTACAAGTCTGAATAAACTTTCGGGCATATATTTTAAATATGGTGTGGCAATGCTTGACCCCTGCATTGAAAATATAAGCGTTATATTGTACGGGTATGCTGCGAGTAAGTCCTGTATGTACATAGTCAAACTTGATAAGATAAGTTGACTGGCTGATGGTAATGGTTAAGCTACAGGGGTTTTATTTTATCGATAACTGCGGCGTCAACACAATAATGATTATACTGAACTACTGGTGTCAATACTCCGACGTAATTTTACAGAGTTCTCGTTCTGTAGTCCCGTTTAAGTATTTCACACACAAAATTATACTTCAATGTTTATTCTTAGAAGGACAACAATGAGTACGTATGCATATTTACGGGTTTCGAAACAAAAGATTACGATTGTTTGTATTTGACTTACGGGGTTGTTAGAATCCCTTTTTATCTTATAGCTTGATCGAGGTATTATTAATACAAAATTTGGGGGCGGAAAATTCTTCACGCTTGGAGTGATTTCATCTCTTAAAATGACTTTATTGATTACGCACTATGAAGTATTACAAACTACGCGAAGTGAACAAAAATATATCTTCAAAGCAGAATCTATTTGTCCTCGGTTATTGATAAACTACTCCGGATTTGTCTATTATCACTGTGACTTTGTTGTTGTTGTCTTTGTTGAACAATAATGAGCAAAAGTGCAAATTCTAACTGTACGTAGAAAATTCCATTTCTCAAATATCGTTTTATCCATTGTCTAGTCTAGTGTATTAATTCATATACTGAAAGAATGAAACTGTCAATAGACGCACAACGTTTGTTTTATTACAAACAAACCTCAAACATACCTTTATTAGCTAATTCGTTACGTTTGACATTCATTCATCTTTTAGGAGTGTGACCATCTAATTTATCACAAACGCAAAACTGTCATTATACTCTAATTTGGCAAATTTCAGCGATAAACGGGTGAAACCCTTATCGGTTTTGTTATCCGAGATATAAATCGAATCTAATTGGAATACCGCATTATTATCTTGAGTAAACAAAGGAAGTAGCCATAGTTATAAAAACAAGTCTCAGGGAATTCACTCGTCTTGGACATTACCAGCTGTTGTCTTCACAATGGCATCCATCTCGGCTCGAATTAACGGATATAACAATAATCAAGATGACAATTCTATAAGACTTATGAATAAGACGTACACAGAACACACAGCCAAGTATATCCAACTTGTTAGTAGTATGGAAACAAAATTTGCCGAAGATTTTGTTGAACTTCCCAAGGTTGTGTTTTGTGGAAATCAATCGGCTGGAAAGAGCAGCTTATTGGAAGCAATTGCTAATGTTCAGGTAATGTAAGAAACATATAGATATACTATGTTATTACGTATTCGTTATAAAACCATTCATTAGATTATCTCGTCGCATATTATTCTATTTATTTTAATACTACGTATGTAACATATATATATATATTCTCTTAGCTTCCAAGATGGCATGAAAACGTGCACTCGGTGTGTAATGGAGATTCGCATGCACGAGACGCCAGAAGCTAGCAGTTGGGAGTGCAAGATCTCTCTGCGTGTAGAATATGACGAAAACAACAAGCCACTCCCAGATGCTCGCAGGGAAAATATTTGGTTTGGCGAAGCCATACATGATCCAAGCGACGTTGAGTCAATGGCATATCGTGCCCAAAAAGCACTGCTCAACCCGAGCAAAAGTTCTGACCTCTACCTTAATCACGATAGGTCGAAAGAGGAAAAGGATGAAATTGAATTTACAATGAATACAGTTTGTTTGTCCATTACGGGACCAAACGTTCCCAATTTAAGTCTGGTTGATTTACCAGGAATTGTGGGTAAGTTACACATAGCGTGAATTATGTACGTGTTTTGAAGTAAAAAGTTCTAATTTATCTATTGTTAAATAGAACATATTAAAAACGCAACTCCAAAAGTTTCACGGATACTTGTTGCTATGATAAAAAGACTCACTAGAAACTATGTAGAAAAGCCCAAAGCTATAATTGTAGCCACCATTCCTTGCGATTCGGAAGACGAACATCAAGGTATTCACAATATAATAAACGAAGTCGATCCGCACAAGAACCGCACGGTGTTTGTCCTAACAAAACCAGACCGTATCGAGGAGAAAACACATGGAAAATGGTTACCGAAACTCGAAGATTCATCAGGACCAGACTATTTCGTAGTTATGAATCCGAATCAGGCAAAATTAATCAAGGGAGTGACATTTATCCAGGCTAGGGAAGAGGAAGAACATGTAAGCAACCAATATCAGTGGGAATAAAAGTTTGTTCGACTTTTATTAATATGGTGTTTTTATTATAGTGGTTTAAAAACACACAGCCATGGTGTTCGTCAAATTTTCAAGACAGACTCGGAGTAAAACGGCTGAGGACAAAGCTGGAAAATTTACTCATAGAAAAAATTAGAGAAAGTGTTCCTAAACTTACGGATGAGATAAGCAATAGATTAATGGAGGTAAGAGAATAAACTATGGTGGTTGGCATATAACGGCTTCTTCCTGTTAGTATTTATTAAGATGGCTTGTGCGTTTATCAGGCGAATGGTAAATTGAACGAATTACCGCCACCTCCCGCTAATGCCCAATTCGAAATCAACAGAGTGACAAACATGTGTGAAAATAAACTTCGTCATAAGCTTAACACTGTAACTGGTTTGAACAACGGAAATGACAATTTGTGGGAAAAAATAAGAGAACAGCTGAATGAATATAATATGTTAATCGAAAACGAAAGACCGGCGTTTGTGTTAACGTCGTTTTTTGGAGGTGTACGGGAAACACTTCTTGTAGACCTTTTGCAAAATATTCCCGCAGCAAACCGTAATGAGACATATAGTTCAATCATCGTAACTCCCATGGAAATTGTAAGCAGTTTATGTTTTTATTTTCGCAAGTTCGACTATTTTAACTCTATTTAACATAATTGCTTAATTACGATACCCAGGTAAATAAACATAAACACTCGCTAAGGAGTGAGGCATTTATCAAGCAAACAACAAAAGTTAAGGACATAATTGACCAAAGTAGAGGTTGCTTACTTTCCGGTAGAATTCCCCATGAAGTATCGGATTCCATAATTAGACCATATCAACATCACTGGAAACAACATTCAACGCAA